TGTGCTACATGTTCCTCCTTTTTCTTATGTTTTTTATTTTTTCTATTTCGCAGCATTTTGATTTCTAATATATCATACGTAGTATTTCAGTACTGCAATCATGCCGTCTGCAGTTTTCCAGGCTCATAAACCACAACAATCTGCCATTTGACCCTTTGGTCTGCCCTGCTGTGATTAACTACATCCGACTGATTCCGAACGTGGAAAGGAAATCCTGTTTACATGTAACGTTGTGAGTTGATGGCTGTAAATCCTCAGCCTCAGCAGCAGCAGCAGCAGCAGCAGGTACCGTTCACTGTGATGAATGTTCGCTCTGCTGCCAGTTCTGCATCATTCATTCCATCTGGCTACGGTTCCCTGATCAAACAGTGTGGCTCATAAGTTACAGGGCGTGATGGGCTGGCTGCCTTTGGCACACAGCAGTAATGAGCTAAACTTCCCTTATCTGATACTGTGGGTGACACGTACACCACCGAAAACCTTTGTAACTTCAAATCCTCAGAGAGACTTCTAATGTAACAGATACTGACCATGAATCAGACTCTGATCTACAGATGAGGCCCAAAGAGAGTCAGCAGTCCAGCTTGGCCTAGCCTTGGGGTAAAGTAACTTGCAAATAAAACACTTAAGTTAGGGTACGGATAACGCACTACAAACTAGTACACATGCTATGTGCTAGAGCACAGCTAGCATGGTGCTAATACACTACAGACTTACACACAACTTACACAACTTAGCATGGTGCTAATACACTACAGACTTGTACACAACGTACATGCAGTTGTCACTGCAATGATACTACCATCAATAACATCCAAGGAATATTTTATCTTGTAGTAAAAGTACTGACCCATATTTACTGGATAAACCAGCTACAGATCAGCATTCAAGGTAGCTACATGTAGAGAATCAAACATTACTGTATTTTCCGGACTCTAAGTTGCACCACTGCCCTCTAGCGGCTGTCAATGTGAAAATAATGAACATGTAAATTTAAAGTAACATGTAAATTCAAATTTAAATCAGTGGTACACGAACCTAAAGAAGTAGCAGATAGTGGTACACGAGCCTAGGTTGCCCTCTAGTGGCTGTCAAATAATAAAAATGTGAAATTATATATTTTAATATACAAGTCGCACCTGAGAATAAGTCGCAAATCCAGCTAATGGATGAAAAAAAAGTGTGACTTATAATCCAGAAAATACGGTATCTAACTGGCTCTTCTGATATTTAACTCAGTAAGGTGTGGTCATAGTATACATAATTTAAAGCTGAGAATGGGACAAAAAATAAAAACTTAAAATCACAGCAAAAAAAACACATCAAAAAGTCCAAGGTTTTACTCTCACAGACGCAGTTTTTTTTTTCTAAACAGAAGTCTGTCTTTTCGCCACCTTTATGTGCGAGACCCACTTCTTTAAACTTAACCGTCTCCAATGTCAAACATCAGCGTTTTCACGCAGGAACATGCCAAGTGTGCAGCGCATAAATCAGAGGTTAAATGTTTTCATGCTGCCGTCTGTGGAGGCAGGGGCAGAAAAAAAGGACTTTTACCCCCGGCCAGACTGTGGATATATGGCTCTGTGTACGTAGTGATTCTTGTAAAGTTGAATTCCAGTTATTTCTGCAATTATGTAACAATAACTGGATTTTAAAGGTCGAGTCTGTGACCTGTGATTCAGTGTTTCTGATTCAGGTAGAAGAGGAAGAACATACGTCTCTTCTTAGGTCTTAGGTGTCTTAAAAATATGGTATGTGTGCCACAGACCACCATTACATGCAGTATTTTTAATCATTTTTAATTTAATAAATAACAATATTTGGGTTAAGTTATAAGAAGACAAAGTGTTTTACGGTGAGGGAGAGTTTATCGTGTCGCTGTGATGGTTTGATCTTTTTTTTTTCATACGCAATGTGGCGATGGGCATGGTGCTGTTTGACAGGAGAGAGGAGAAGTGGGTGAGGGACGGTGTGGGTGTATGTGGTTGAGGGAGGGGGGGGAGGTTACTCTGCATCCACCATTTACTCACTGTGCCGGGGCTCATTCTGTAATAAAAGGTCTTGTGTCACGGAGGCCTTGTCCAAACAATGACTCCATTCAACGTGAAGAGGAGTCTGTGTCAAGACGGGGCTGAATACGATACCTGTGAATCAGGACGGCAGCCCCTCTCTCTCTCTTTACTGTCAACTGTAACTACTACTGCCTCCTGTCTGCCTCTTTGTTTCACTTCGCCTTTGTCTTTACACGATTTACACAACATACAATTTTTAAAAAATAGTTTTCTCAGATCGCAAATAATGCGTTCACATGGTCATTATTTGAGGTTATGCCATTTCGGAATCTGTCTAGACAGCCAAATTAAAAGGACCGGTTCTTTCAAAGCTGAAATTCCTCTCACTAACTATGGTGCCACCACACCTGGATGGAGTGAAAAACTACTCAAGACCATGAAGAAAGGTAAAACGACTATAAGTTGAGTATAAGTTGACCAGTGCCCTCTAGCGGCTGTCAATGTGAAAATAAAAAAACTGTGAAATTATACATTTTTATATATAAGTCGCACCTGAATAGAAGTCACAAACCCAGCCAAAGGATGCAAGAAAGTGCTAGTTATAGTCCAGAAAACACAGTTCTCAACAGTATGACTTTAAGAAACTCTAATCCCTCATTATTGTGACCATCAAGAACTTCTACCAGTTTGGAGTGAGCCGAGTCAAACTAGAACCATCAACTCTAACAGTCTGGACAAACAAACAAAAGCTGGCTCCATCACTGGAGGCCAACAGCGGACTTTTGATACTTCTTTCAATCTAGGACAATGAAGACCACCCACTTCACCACAGACTGGAGAGGCAGCGAGGCACATCCTCAGACTGACTCACAGACTCACTGTTAAACATGCAGTTACAGGAAGCCATTCAAAAAAACTGTTTCCTTCGACAGCTGCTCCATCTGTCAGCTGACGTTCACAACTACAGTGCAACATTGTTTTGTCAATTACACGTCTTATTGTTACTGTTGATTTTATTAATTAGCATTAACTGAAATACTACACATGACTAGTTTTGATTAGGGGTGTGTATTTGCAAGAATCTGGCCGTACGATTGATGTCACAATATAATATACTGCGATACTATAGACACAACAATAGCGTTTTTTTTCCCCATCAATCTCACTGTGGTCAAAGTGTGATCCTAGTCTCAGAATCTGAACATCAGTTCCTAACTCTGGAACAGAGGGATCTACATTTGGATTCACCAGAGAAGAAAGAAAAGAAAAAGAAAATGAACCAACACCAGGAATATTGGACTGGGAATTGGTGAGAAACAAAATCAATAACTGATGACGGTATGGTGAAACAAAATATTGCTATATTTCAGTTTATCAATATCTTTTTTATTTCTTTTTCTGTCACGTTACTTCGTAGTCTTATTTTTTTAATGATTAAAAAGACTGAATTACACACACACACATGCTGTACGACTGTATATAACACACTTGCTGTTAAGAACATGCGCACACACACACACTCATGGCTCATTACATCAATGACATCGGTGACAAATGCACACACACACCTGCATGCCCGCATGTGAGAGAGAGAGAGAGAGAGAGAGAGAGAGAGAGCCAGCGTCAGCGTTGGACAGGCATAAACAGGTTATGATGTAGTGCACTTCACTTATGGCAGAGTGGGCTGGATGTTACAGCAAACCCTTGGGTAGAGCTTATGCATGTCAAAACATTTGTTGAAGGAGGTTAATGAAATGTAAGCACTTGAGCACCAGTTCAATAATAAATACCAGCACTTGGCTGTCGCTGGTATATTAGTTCTGTTCTGAGTTCTTTTTTTGTTTAATTTTTTAATGATTGATTTCTTTCACTGGACACATTTTAAAATCTGTCCAACGTTCACAGGGCTTCACTGTACGTTGTATACTTTTTAATCATTCTTCACTGAAAGACCAACATTTTCCCTCTGTCTTTTAGTGCTGAGCAACAATTACACTTTTTATAAAAATGATCAGATGATTTTTCTGATTCACTGATTATGTGAAAAAAACTTGGAACAAAAGCTGATGTGTTTAAGTGTCATCTTAGCCACTGAGTAACAAAACACTCCTCCATCCATCATCTACAGCTCAATACTTTTTAGGGTCACTGTGGGGCAGGGGTCAAAGGGCGAGGGCATGGTTATATACACCTCTGGACAATGGGCCGAGGTGTATATCTAAAGCATTATTCACACTCACATTCACACCACGACTTATATGTTAAGGTAAGAGTGAAATATGGAGAACATCAGGGCTAAAAAATCCAGGGCTTGAATCAATGATCTACTTTCTGTAAGGCAAGAGTACTAAACACCAGGGCACCATGCAGGATGACCAAGAACCCATGAACAAACTGTTGTAAATATAAAATATAACAACAACAACAACAGCAGCAGCGCTAATTTAATAAATCAATTATATTGAAATAAATGTTATTCTGGTATCCTTGAAATGTACACATTTTAAGAAGACAAGTTTGTATTATTTTAAACACAGACCATAACACAGGCCTTATCAGTGCCTACCATTCGTCTTTTTTTTCCAGATGAGGAAAGAACACAGGCGTTAAAGCCTCTGCCGAGACAGATGCCAAGAAAACTTCCATCTGAGCTCTGAGGCCTGACTCCTCCCCCTCAGCGTGCACGCTCACCTCTGTGACTGACAGCGTTAACAACGTGAATCTGCCTCAGGCCTGATTCAACCACAGCTGTGCCAAAGCCATAACTCTTCTCCGCTCTGCTCCTATTTTTCTGGATCTTTACACCTCACAGACACCAGTCCAACACAAACACACCTGCTGCACCACCTATGGTCACACACTCCTACACACTGGAACATGTACTACACGCTGTTGCTGTTTTTTTTTTTTGTTTTTTTTTTAATCTTTTCTCTATTAAAACCTTTCTTCTTGTGTAGAACGCTGCTTTTTGAGTTTTTCAGTACTCACCTAATCTTCAAAGGCTGTGGTTTCAAAATCTTGGTCCGGGGGGCAACGTTTGGTCCATAAATCCCTCACATCTGGCCCCTGTGAATAATAAAACATGCTTTAGTTGGTCATTTAAAAATAAGGTCAAATGTACTAGCTGTTTGGACCATAATATTATGCAGTATATACAGTACATTAATATATATATATATTTTTCTACATAATTTAAAACCATGGACAAAAATTAGCAAAATAAAAACCTCAGTAACCACAGAGAACATGTGTGGAACACTGATTTGCTGCAGTAGTGGCCCCCAGCTCATTTGAGTCTGAGGCCCCTGTTCTAAGGTAAAATACACTCGGCATTTATCCCATCACTGAAACTGCACCAGGATTAACACTGGACACATAAAGGCTTCACACAGGGATTTTATTACCCATCAGGCCTGTGTTCGGTTACAGCTGGTATTAGTGCTGCAAAATTAAGATACCTTTCTCTGTAAATACTTGGCATTTTTAGCAGCTCTCGCCCCCTCCCCTCCCATGCCCATTCTATTTTTGGGTCTGACCTATAGTCAACCCTGAACTAGGACAGGAACCTTTTATAAAAAGCTCTTATTGAGTTAATTATATGTGTTTCCAGGGCATTTTGGATCATTTTCAGGGCAATTTTCTATAATGTTTCTAACGTATCAAATGTCTTCATCCAATCCATCTTTCCACCAGGCCACCAGTCCAGGCCAGGAGCACTGACTGTATCAGTACCACTGATCCATCTTTCCACCAGGCCACCAGTCCGGGCCAGGAGCACTGACTGTATCAGTACTGTCTGTTTCCATTTAGGGTTGTTCCTGTCGGGATGTTTTTATTTTTTAACAAACCTAATTATTGTTTGTGAGCAGCCAAGATATTAACTACAGGTCCTGATCCACTGCTGTAGCAAACTAGCTAACACTGTGTTGAGAAATGAAAACAAACAACAACTAATGCTACAACACAGAACATTTCATGATCCCAGACTAATGCACTACATCAGTGAACTACATGTTATCACAGGGTTTATCTTAGAATTCAAGCGAATTTAACTCCATGTGTTTGGAATTTTAAAAACATGGCCAAAAAGAATAACAAACAATAAAAATCTGAGTAGCCACAGAGAACGAGTGCGGATTTACATAACGTAAAGTGTTTCGGTGAGAAGGAACAACTGTAGCAACATTCAAGCACCACCAACATCACAAAAGACAAATATTTTACAAATATTATACATATATCCACACATATATATGTATATATACATACATATATATGTATATATACATACATATATATGTATATATACATATATGTGTATATATACACATACGGATATATGTATATATACATATGTGTATATATACAGATACAGCTATATGTATATATATACATACATATGTATGTATATATACACATATATGTATATAAACACATATATATGTATATAAATATCATTACATAACTTCCGCTAGCAACTTTTCATTGTTGCTAGCGGAAATCCTACGCCTAGCGGGACTACCTTCGCGGATGAGCCGAATGCTAACCTAGCGGCCTTCCTTCCTCCTCCTCCCTTTCTTACTCGTCCTTATTCTCCAAATAAATTCGAATTTTTACCTTATCGTCGACGGAGGACCTCTGTGAATCGTCGCTGCCACCGCCTTCGTCCACCATTATTCCACATTCCGAACGTATAAAGTACAGCTCCGTTGGGCTAGCTACTTAGCATTGCTAACCTCAACAACCTCGGAGCAGGGAACTCAAACAGGCCAATCACATCGCACGACCCAAGTTCAAACGTAATCCTTCTTTAGGAACGTTATAAACGATATATTTTATATTATTCTTGTTTTATTATTGTATTTTAGAGTACAACATTTCACAATGTCGCGCTTCATTCGAATATTAAACGTTTAAACTTGTACTGTTCAGAGCTGCACATACGTCCGTGGCTTCCACACAAAAACGCGGCCTACGTCATTGTCCACTTCCACGTCATGTCGTTGCTGCGCACCACTGTACTGCGCACACTGTACTGCACACACTGTAACCCCCCAGCATCAACAGTTCTATTGTCAGTAAATGTCGCCGTTCCTCCTGTACATTAGGGGATGGAAAGCGAACTGTTCATCACGTTAATTTATGCCTGAGTCACAGTGTTACTGTACGCTGTTGGCACCGACTCACCTGGCACGGTTCTTCATCTGAGACTCTCGTGCCAGGAGACCCTGTCATGCCCTCAGCTTATTGAACACCCACATCTATAATTAGCCCAACGACACACCTACATACCACCCACGGTACAAGAGCAAATGATCCTGCTTAATTGTGCGTGAAACGTGTCTAAACAAAGAATTCAGAGTTTTGTTTTGTTTTTTTTTACATGAGGCAGAGAGAATTCTGTACTCAGAGTCATAGGTTAAACAAGCTGAACGAGGAAAAACAAATGAGAACAAAAAAAGAAAAACTGAGGAAAGAACATGGAAATAAAGTCAGCGTTAATGAGTGTGGTGTAAAAAAAAAACAACTAAATTTTAGGCATTTAATCTCAAACCATAAACCACAAAAAACATCTCTCTTACTTTCTGTTCCTCCTGCTTTTTTTCCTTTTTATAAAGTGGCCACACAGTGGTGAGGTGATGAGCACATTTACCTCACAGTAAAAAGGTCACAGGTTCAATTTTCTCTTTCTTTTTTTTTGACTCATAATTCATAAAAAAGTAATAGTTAGTTAGACATATGACCCATATTGTTCTAGGTCCGCCTACATGGCCCACTCCTCGTGGCCCACTCTCCGAGCTGTGAATGGAAGCGTGAATGGTTATTCACCCTGCGGTGGACTGGTGTCTTAACCCGCTGACTGCTGATTGGCTCCAGCTCCCGCTGTGACCCTGAGGAGGAGGAACTCTGTCCCATATAGTTCTTCACTTTTTTTTTATTGCGGCTCAATAATATTTTTTTTATGTTTACCAAAGGAGGGATAATAGATGGTGTGTGTGTGTGTGTGTGTTCTAGATTATTCAAGCTCAAACCAAAGGCTAATTAAAAGGTCAAGTTTTGTACTGTTTAAATAAAAACTCAAACATTGACTTTTCTATTCAAGTCTTTATCAAACATTATTAAAACCTTTCTTTTATAAAAACAAACTCTGGATCAAACAAGTGTACTGTAATATTGTTGTACTGTGTGTACTCTAAAACGCAGAACAAGTACGCTCTGTCAGTAAGAAGGATGAACGGGCACTCACACAGGTTTCATTAACCCTGTGCCCAGAGAGGTTATTGATCCACAGTGATCATCGGTCCGATCGTGTCAAACAGATCCAGACCGTACAGATCTGGAGTCAGAACGTGTTTTTTCCACTGCTTCATTCTCCTGGAGCCAATCCCAGCAGATTATCAGGATCTCCAGTCCATCACAGGTTCACACACCGAGACACAAACACCGAGACGCACAAACAACCACTCGCACCGTTCACACCACTCAGACCCAAGGTCAACGTAAAGTCGACAGAAACCAGGAAACTGGGGAAAACCTGGAGAACGTGTCCGGGTTTGAACCAAACATATATGGAAGGGTGAAATAATTTCTTTCTTTCTTTTTTTTTAATCCACTCTGGTTCTGACTCGTGTCAAACTCTGACTTCACCTTAAATGGAATGTCCACGACACCACCCTTCGTCTGTCTCCGTTCTCTGCCTCGTTCTCTCCAAGTATTTTGTTCTGCAGGAGATTCTCACAGAGAGTTTGATGATTCCATGTCAGAACATTTACACTTTAAATGTGGTTTTGGACAAAGGTCCTCTGTGTGTTTGAATGTTGTTAATGATTCAGCGGCTCAGTCGGTAGAAGAGCCTGTCGCTGCAAGAACTCGTTTTTATTACCAATGACTTTAGGTCAGTCGTTTAAATAACACAGAGTAATTGAACAAAGTTCTGCTAAAAACATGGAAACCCAGATTTCCTAATCACATCAAGTTGTACTACTGAAATGACAACGACATAAAAGTGTCAATAAATAATAATAACAGAAAAAAGCCTAAACCCAGAGGACAAGGGATGTCTGATAATATCAACCGACAGGATATTATTTAAATTCCTGCCATTTCTTTATGATGATGCGTTGAAATGTGCAGAACCTGAAGGCCACACGAGCGACGATCCGCGACAGGCGACCTGCTGCAGGTCGTGACAGGTCGCGGCTCTGATGGTATTTTATTGTTTTGACAGTTTAACCAGACCTGCTCCGTGACCAGAGGCGGAGGGGCAGCTGCAGGGGCAGTTCTCAGCCTGTGCTGGTGTATGAGGAGGCAGGAGGGGTAAACACAGCTGGCAGGACCTTCTCACACCGACAGGTTTGGATAACGACACCGAGAACCAGGTTTAACGATGAGGTCTGACCAGGTTCAATACAAGACAAAACCAATGAATAACGAATAATCAGGATTAATCGAGATAAATCAACATTCATAAACAAAGAAAAATCGATTTGTGAAAATGTAAATGTATCATCATAGAGTTATATATTAGGGGTGGAAGAAACTATTACTGAAATATCGCGACATTTTAGAGTATCAATCTCCGATTTTTTCTCACCAATTCCCAGTCCAATATTCCTGGTGTTGGTTCATTTTCTTTTTCTTTTCTTTCTTCTCTAGTGATTCCAAATGTAGATCCCTCTGTTCCAGAGTTAGGAACTGATGTTCAGATGGAACTACATCTCGCAGATGGAACAGAGTCTGAGACTAGGATACTTTACTACTTTCTTGACTACATCTCAAATTAATTGTATTTTTGTTTTGGGTTTGAAGAGAATAAAGAGATATTTTTAATTATCCTACAACGTCTTCAACCCTGGAAACGACGTCAGTGAAGGTACCGGTTTTATTGGTCTGGATCGTGTTACTGCTTGACTTTTGCTGACTGTGCCAAAACAGAGCAGGTCGAGGACTGTCACCTGGTGCGAAGGCAGTCGTAACATTTCACAAAATTCCGAGGAAAGAACAGCTCAGACTTAATGAAGTCAGACTTCCAGCCACAGAAGTATTTATAGCCACGTGGCAGCTTATCAAAGGTGACCTCAGATGTTGGACCTTTAAATCCAGCATATCTTAACAAACACTCACACATCACAACACTCAATTAGCCCGTGTGAGGAAATCCCCATCAGGTTTGAAGACCATCTGCCTGTGATTACAGACCGGGAACCACAGTCCAACCAGGGGAGATCCCAGCGATGATCACACACCACAATCACTGGTCAGTCACGTCCCCCAGGTCAGATGTTTGTACGACTGCGATCCAGAAATCTGGCAACACAATGGACGCGAGGTGTCCAACAGGAGAGGGGGCCAACGAGCACACACCCAATCACATCAGCTCCATGTGTGGTGACACCCTGGGCCCCGGTCAAGGTCAGGAACGAGGGCGCCTTAAAACGGTTCTTAGAAAAGGTGGGAGTTAATTAAGATTTTCCTTTAAAAAAAAAAAGAAAAACAAAAAACTTTTTGACTTCATTGATTCATATAATGACCAACAGGCGTTCACACTAACATTCACACTCACAGTCAGGATCCGTCTAGAGTGATTGATGAACTCTAATCTCTGTGAGGAAACAGGAGAACCACGGGTGTTCATCTTGCTGTAGGGCGACAGCTCGACCCACTGTTCCACCGTGTGGCCCGATCGCCTGTAAACTTGAGTGACAGCGTGAACACACTTTCACGGCAAACAACTCTGTCAACCAAACACTTTCACGGCTGCCCTAAAACTGAACCACCGGTGCACAGCGCCACCCACCTGTGACTGTGGGGAGTGGAGAACGTGAGCATGAGGATCTGAACAATCAAGGAGAACGCAGTCATGGGTTCTCAGCCCGATGAATTACCCTCTTTTGTCAGGGCTAATAAATATTTAGTTGTAGCCACAGGGGATTCCTGTTTTAAATTAATAGCTCTACATCACCACTGACAGCCCGCTGAGATAACTTGACGGTGCTTTTTCCAGTGTTGGTGTGAGATGGAGCTGGGGGGTGGCTGGGGGGTGGGGGGGGTAAACGTTTCTGCTCAACACTCGGCTGTGGCTTCGGTTCACGTTTCCAAATAATTGTTTTAATTAAGATGATTTATCTGTCAGGGCAGCGCAGTGGGACAGTGTGTCAGTGCGGCCTCAGCTGCTGTGTGTGTGTGTGTGTAAAACAGTTGACGTTCCTGTGCACGTGTGTCACAGAGCAGAGAAGTTCTTCACTGACAGACAGTTTCAAATCATCTCTGGATCGGTTCCATGTCCCTGCTGTTAAAACAGACTCCGGTGAGAGCAGCTGGCATGCAGTACTGCAGTACTACAGTACTACAGTACTACAATACAACATGTATTTGAACAAGGAGACTGGGTCTAATGGCCGTTCCCCTCAGATTGGGGTCTAATGGCCCAGTGTGGAGTTCCCCTCAGATCCTTGAAGTCTAGATTTCCTGGGTCAAAAATTATGGAATGGAACAGAAACAGTACTAGATAGAACTGTCTTACAGGCACCAGTATGTCAAGGTAAATGTCTCTCTCTCTCTCTCTTTCTCTGATAGTCATCAGCCTGTTCTACACACCAACACTAGATTTAGTTTTTTCCATGTGTGACCAGCAGGTGAACAGTTCTAGCTACCATTGATTCTGGATCGATCCCTGATCGGTTCCTCATATATTTGACTAGACCGTGCGAAGGGCCGGGTGGTTGCGCAATAATGAGCGTCTGCACAGATAGTTTTACATTGTTTGACATTTTGATGATGGCGGTGAAAGGCTGCGAGTCAGAGGAGCTGTGGGCGCCCACCTGAGCCGCACCAGCGCCGACACTCAGCCGGGCGGCGCTGAACAAGAGGCCATTCTCTTTCACTGCCAGCCATGAAGTAAACACAGGAGTGCTGGAGGAGGACGGCTTCGGATGATGAATGGCTGCCAGTTCATTGGCTGCGGCCTGACTTCATGTTTGACTGAGGGACATTTCCTAAGAGCCCCGGCTTTTTTCATCCTGCCCTGGGCTTTAAACTACCACCCACAAATATCAGCCTGAAACTGAAGCCAAGAGTTTCTGTTCAACAATGAGTCACAAGCAACAAAGAACCAGCAACCCTCACCCTGCTCATGTGTCGGGAAACGTTCCACTCTGCTGTTAATGTGTCCAGTTCAGCCCATTCCTGATGGATGGAACTGTCACTCTGGTACTGATTTGTATTTATCTGGACCCGATGACACAACATTCTTCAGTCTTTTACTGAGGAGAAAAGAAC